AAGAGTGACCAAGACAGAAGTTCTCCTTACAATACCAATGCAATACCAAGCAGAAAAGTTGTGAGAATTAAGAAAAATATCCATAAGGATATTACAAGTTGATCCAAAACCAAATTATCCAAAATAACATCATAAGAATTGTTTGGTAGAAAGTAAGGAGAATCACTAATAAGATCTTGGAAGTAAAAGAGTTACGTCATGTGTGTAAAGTGAAGAGAGAACAGCTGATACAAAAAGCTGCTTGCATAACAGACAGGCTCGACGTTTACTTTTGTTGATAAATAAGCGTGATCTTACCTGTAATGCAATTTTGTAGAACTTCTCGCTGGTGTAATCTTCAATGGACGATGCTAACTCCTTGAGTTTACGAAGAAACTTCTTCATTTCACGGTCCTTCATCTTGGCATGTTTTATCTCCCATATCTCCTCATAAAAGCTCAATGCTTCTTGTCCATACCGTCTGTACATATTTACTTTTTTGAGTTCCAGGCACAGATTGAGAATTCCCTCGATTGTTCTCTCCCTTTCCAAGCCGATCTTCTCCGTTTTTTCATTACTTTTTCCTTCTTCCCACTGCTTTTGCCACAAATCCAACAATGTCTCTCGAAATTTCGCGATCATTCCTTTTTGTCCTGTCTCTTTGTAAAGATTTTCTACCTTCATTTTCAATGACGCTTTGTCCGACCTGTCCTCTTTGTTTCCAAGGAAATCCGCTCTCACCAGACACATTTTATACAAAGCCACCTTGTCCATTTTGTATTTCCTCACCTTCTCGCGTTCCTTAAGTCGAGAACAGAGCACCACTGTGTCATCCAAGAGATTTTCCCTCTCACTCAGCATGACACAGAGAGCATCATTATCAGTTTCCGAATGAAACTTCTCTTGAAACTCTCTCTCGTTGGCATTGCACCTCGCCTCGTAGAACCAAAACTGTTCCTTTTGTACTACAGCTTTGTCTTTCTTGTCATGAGCAAGATCATTCAGAGCATCAACGATGCCTTTGTTAAACATATTGAAAGTGAATTGTTGAGAAGCTTTCTGTTCTTCCCAGAAACGTTGACAAAACTTGAAAGCCTCTTTCCTAAATGACCTCTTCCGTAGAAAACTGAGTGTCCAATCACACATATCTTCCACACCTGTGATAATCTTTCGCCACACTTCACTATGGTTTCCTGCATCAAGTGACTTTTCCATCTCCCATGCTTCAAGAAACAGCTTCAAAGCTTCTTTTGGGTGTTTAAGATTGGCCTGAAGGACCCCTCGTTGAAAAATGCTGCGCACAGTCTGTGGGTGATTTCCGAGAAGCTTCATCCTTATGTTGTAAGCCCTCTCTGAAGGTTCAATTGCCTCTTTATATTTGTCTTGAAACATGAGTGCATTAGCAAGATTTCTTGAGAAGAGTGCCTCGTCCAAATCACCTAAAAGTTTAAGATCCTCCAAAAGACTTAGTGCATCTCTGTACCATTGAACCGCCTTTCCATAATCTTTAAGGCCTTCATACGCAGTTCCAATCTGATTCTTGTACATTGGCATGTCAAAGTGATTCTCTGATCCTAATTTCTCTTGCATTTTGTAGGCTTTTTCATAGAACTCAAGTGCTTTCCTGGGTTGGTCCAGGTGAAAAAAGCTGTTTCCAATAGCATTGTAGCACCTTGCAAGATCAGTATGCTCCTTTAGCAGTGGTTCAGAGAAAGTTAAGGACAACTCCAGACTTGCCAGTGCTTTTTTATAGTCTCTGTTTCTCCAAAGGATTTCACCTTCAGCTTGCAAGTAAAGCCCCTTGGTGAGCATAAAGGATTCACTACTTTGATCTTCAACTTTCTCCAGTGAATTCAGAGCTTCCCTCAATGTTTCAAATCCTCTCTCTGTTCCATCAACATCTGAAACTTCCCTGGCTTCCCAGGACTTTAACTGCGCTCGGCAAAGAGAACCTGTACAAAGATGAAGAATCAAACTAATAAACAGATATCACTGCTGATGAAGTGTGCTCAGTATCTATAAATGACCAAGTGTAAATTAATTATCACAAGACATATCTTTTTTTGTTTTCAATAACAGTTCCCCAAGAAGTGGTTTAAAAATTTCACTTTTTTTGTTTTTCTTTCTTTCTTTCTTTTTTTCTTTCTTTTTTTACTATTTTTGTTATCTGTCTTATCCTCAGAGCCCCTCCTAAGTAGCTTCTCCCCAGTTCCCGTGTGGAATTACATAAGTGATGGTAATAGGACTTCTGGGAGTAAATTGGTGAATAATTTCAGCTTGACTGATTGCAAAGTGCAGGCTGGCTTAAAAATTAGTGGCAAAATTACCCCAGAGCTGCACAACACAAAAATTCCAATTGACTGTATCAACAGCAAAGTACAAGTAACAAAAGACTGAGACATAAAATATCTGCAATTGCCATGACAGAGCCACCTTAATCAATATATTAGCTTAAAGGTCATCAGAACCTGGATAGCCTCCTCACTAAAGATTTTTCTCGAGTTTGGTTTGCAAGGTATAAAATAAGGTAGTCACTCAAATTTCAGCGACTCGTAGCTTTAGCACCAAAATCTAGTTAGCTATTCCAGATAGGTCAAGTCTGACATTTTGGTGGGATAATTGTGCACATTATGTAATCCAAAAGTGGCTCTGTCAAATTTTAATTACTTGCATATAGACCTCCTCCACTGTTCCAATTGCCAAACTGCAATAACAGTTTAAACGGCCATGTGTCATTACATTAATCATCATAGATGGCAGAAAGCCACAAGGTTACATGATAAACTAAATGTCTAAACTTAAGAACATGGGATTTAATGATGGACAGGAGAGCTGATGATGGGGTTCAGACAAAAGCAAAAATATATAGAAAGGTGTTTATATAACAGGAATTCCCATGAGAGAATAATACTGCCTCTAATTACAAAAGAGATAATAAATTCATACTAACTGAGCATAAGGGCCATACTGAGGTATATTGGCCAGTATTGATGGTATGGACCGAGCACAGCTCCTTCTGTACTTAAATGACAGGGAACAATGTTGACCAGTATGGCTCAAGCAAGCAAGCAAGGTCAGTACTGTAGGTAATTTATTATACAGAACTTGGACCAAACTTTTTTATTTTGAGTTTAATGCCTTTGCAAATAAAAATACATGGCTTATAACTGTTTCTGAAGAAATGGTCCATATGGCAAAATCTCAACCAATTAAGATCCAATCAGAATACTCAGATTTACCTCAGGACTATCTTGCCATATAATAAAATAAGGTAACTATTGCAATAAGTTAAAACTACATGTAAGCTGTTTCAAAGAAACATCTTCCATGTCTCCCCAGACAATGAGGTTAAGCTAAATATGAGATTTGGACAATATCGATATCACATGAAAAGTTTCACTGCCCCTCACCTGTTTTTCCATCATCTTCACACATCTCAGCCCAGGAATGAAACACCTTGATTATTTTTTTATGATTCAGCATTGCAGTGAAAAGAGATGCAATCAAAGCAATCTCATGGAATTCACCTCGAACAATGAAATACTCTGGTTGTAAGGAGACCTCAACAGTAAACTCATAGTTTCCTCTGTCTTTCTCAAACAAGTGGAATGCTCTGACATATTCTGGCTCAATCAGTTTGGCAATTTTCTCCATCCTGGACATAAAAAGTTCATAAAAGCGTGCTTTTGCCTCCATGTAAGGAGCAAGAAAATCTTCATGATTCTTGATACTGTCAGCATACTTCCATAAGAGAGGGTGAATATCATACTTCCTTTCTTTTGCTTCTTCATCAACAACAGAAATTATTTGGCTGGCTACAAGACCCTCTAGTTGAACAGTGGCCTCTGAGGGGTCAACATCAAGAACTTTGGCAGCTGTTGCCACGGAGAAAGGCCCATGAAACAAGGAAACCACTACTGCAGATAACTTTAACCTTTCTGTGGAAAGTGTCTCAAACATTAAACTGACTGCTGACATCTGATTGATATCCACTCCTTCTTCATCAAAACCAGCAAGCTTTCCACTCACATCCAGCTCCACTTTCATTTTTTTTAAAGCATGCACAATTTCTGCAATAAGTTCTTCTGGAGATTTTCGTTCTTGTCGCATAATAGCTCCTAGTCCTTTTAGAAATAGAGGGAATCCTTTAGTGATGCTCATTAAATTATCCTTCTGCTCTCGTTTAACATTAGTCAATCCCTTAGGAAAAATTAGTTTCTCTGAAGAAATCCTCTCTAGCGAACCCACTTCAAAATCATCCATCCTTTTGGGACC